CACCCTCAATACAGTAAGAAAGAGAGATGAAGCAAGGTAATGGGGGTAGAAATGGTGAAATTGCGTGTGAAAATGGAGAAATACCTGCAGGGATGGTTGCATGAAGTGAAAAGGGAGGGGAAAAAAAAGTTGTACAGTAGAATACAGTAACCCCTCATTGCCATTTTTCTTTAAGGTTAGATAAACTACTTGTAATTGATTTTCTCTCCACATTCTACCCCTCTAACAGAGTTTGTTACAGTCCCAGTCTTATCCAAACTTTTTGATTCTTCTAGATTATGTTTATTTAATTAGGGACCAGCAAAATGTTTTAATTAACATGACATTGGTGTGTAATGAATGGATGAACAAGTTCAAATTTCATGTCTATAAATTATGTTTATGATTTAAATATATATAATAGGAGAAAAATATGACAAACATGAGAGAGAGGAAAAAAACATAGATAGAACAATGTTACAAGCACGAGAGAGAGAGAGAGAGAGAGAGAGAGAGAGAGAGAGAGAGAGAGAGAGTTAAGATTTTGCTGATTCATTTCTTCAGTAGAGCATCTATATCTAGAAGGATCTGTAGACATTGTCGTCTATTTTTCCACATCATCTTTACGGAGTCATAGACAATTTGTATTGAAGATAAATTTTATAATCTTCGTCTGCTTCTGCTTACATGACAATTTTTAAGCAATCTACGATTACATTGGAGATGCTCTAAAGCGTTATGATTTTGATCCAGTATTTTATTGCCACGTGGATAACCCACGTCATTGTCCTACTAATATAAAGGATTTTTCTAGTTGTACACCGGGTTTGACACCTCGGTGTACCGACCCCTCACAAGAGGGGGGACCCACGGCGAATAAAAAAATCGTGGGCCCCCCTCTTGTGAGGGGTTCGGTACACCGGGGTGTCAAACCCGGTGTACATGTAGAAGAACCCTAATATAAAAGAGGGATTTTTTTATGGCATTGTTCCTAAGAAATTGGGCCCATTTACTAGTTGCATCTTTATTTGTTTCCCTGTTTGCCTCTTTCTTTTCGCCTCTTTACAGTTTGCATCTTTACTTTTTTTTTCCCTGTTTGCCTCTCAATTTGACAGCTGCAAAGTGAAAAAAAAAATGACAACTTCCTCCACTTACCGATATCATCCACCCCTTTCGTGCACAAACCTTAGAAAGTTCTTCTGCCGAACTCTCTCTTCTCATGCAAAAGGGAGAGCTCAAAAACATGGCCAACCAACTTTGCATTTGATAGTATCAAACACAAGGACAGGGTTCTGTTCAACCTGACCTGGTTGAGTCAACACCGTTATGCTATTTTCTCCATTTTTCTAAGAGATTTTTAGTGTGCAAGATATCGTTGATCTTTTTGATCTGTAAATACATCTAAATGAATTATATTTCGAACTTCTAGTTCGAATTGTCTCTTGCGATCATCTAGGCAATATTATTATGCATTATGTATATGACTTTTTAGTTTTTTAATTCCTCCCCTAATGTTGAAAATAACTCAATCAAATTGACAAATAGCAAATCGTGTTATAAACTATCGTCAGTTAGGATTTAAGATACTTCATGAGGGTTTAAACTAAACTTGTATTCTCAACCTTCTTCATATTCCAAAATTTTTGCCGAAGATTAGGACCCATTTTTCGCATGGTAAATATTCGAATTGAAAAAATTATGTGTATATTAATGTTGTAGCTATTTGAGTTAACTTTTTAATGCATCTTAAATCGCCTCAATTGGATATCAGAAGAGAAAGTTATGACAAAAATAATGACGATTGTGTAGAGATAAAACATGCGTGCACGAATGCAACTTTTCTTATTCAATTGGAACTCTTTTGCAAACTAATTGAATGTGATTTTGAAAAAAAATTCGACTCCTATAAATACCTAATATTAGAACACATTAGGGGAGCTTCTATACCTCTCATACTTCAATATACATCAATTATTATCATCAAATGGATGTGAAATTCATGATTTTGTGAGAGAATTAAAGGAAACTTGCAAGAATTCAATTAGGTGAAAATTCAATTTTTATTTTTGGGCAAAGAAGAGAAGGTGTAAATGGACATTCATCAAGAAACTATTGAAGGGTTTGAAATTTCAATATTGATTTTCATTTTTTAAGTTTATCAATAATTCGAGATATGTCTTTTCACTTAAACATGTTTTCTTGTAATGTTGCAATGCTAGACTAAGTTTTTAATTTAGATGTAGATAACCATTTAGTATGAAAATTTTAATATAGGTTAAATATTTTGATGTCCAATAAGTTTTATTTCTTTGATGCTTGTTATTGTGTTTAATGCTTTTCAATTAATTGACTACTAATTGGAATGATTTGTGAATTTTACTGATTTCGAGAGAAACAATAGAATGGATAGCAACTATAAAATCACTGTAAAGTTCGATAGAGATAGAAATATATCGCTATATTTTGCATGATTTCTGTAGATGTTTTAGCATTTTTGATGCACGTTTTTATGTTCGTATTTTTCATAAAGATATAGAAAAGTTACATGGGAGGATCTATTTAATTAACATCAAGAAATGGTTTTAATTAACTTCGAAATATTGATAACAAGAATACAGATTGTCATGATACTGATTTGCACGAAAATGAATTTATAAGGGGGATTCAAAATGTTAATAATCATTTCACATAATTTTATATAAATCTTCATATTAATTGATCCTTGATTAAGTATATATTTTTCTTCGGGAACGATTACTTTTCATATTATTACTTGTTTATGATCCTGCACACTTGTGAAAAATTAAACGATCAATTGTCCCCCGATTTAAGATGCATTTTTAATTACAATTTGGTGGCAAGGATAACTTGCGCTTTGTCTACATTATCGAGAATCAATAATGCATCACAAACGAAAATTTTTGGCTCATCATTTCTTCCAAACGGCTAGGATTCATGGCTTGATTTGGTACATTTCGTTAAGAGATTGTCGAACAGGGCCACACGTATATTTCAATCTTTACATGTTATGTCATCATAATATTGCATGATGGATGTAACTTCACATGTCGAATGTGACCATAGCCCGCTCACGATTCAATGTTGCCCCCAAAGCATGTCTTAATCTAACCAACTCCCATAGCACAATTGTTAATTTACCATATGTTTTAATTTCATAGTTAAGGCACTTGTATTTAACGATGTAAAATAATCTAGTTAGCTTAGGCTGGCTTAATTTGAGATTCGATCGATGTACAACTTTATACGTATATTAGCCAGTTTTATAGTCATTTAAGAACACTAGACAATCACGTCGAATTATTGCATGTTTGCCAAGTTTAAGCAGACAATTCTTTTATTTATCCAAATTGAAAATATTGTAAATTGTTTATTTTGAAGGTGACATTTAACTTATTATCAAAGTTAATATTTTTTTAATTGCAAGTGATAAAAAATAGTAACTAATATAAAAGTAACTTTTAAGTTTAGCCAAACATATGTAGCTTATCCGAGTTATCATGTATCCTATCGTAAGAGAAAAACTACCAATACAAAGACGCAATTGATCATGTATAAGTTAATTATTACAATTTACTAAACTATTTCATCTAAATTTTAGTCGAGGTTTGGCACATATTTTTTGAAACTTATTTTTTTTCAAACTAATTTTCAGTCACACATTTAATAGAACCCACAATTTTTATCTACATTTAAACAAAATATTTTATTAACTTTTATTAAAATTTTCAAAAAATATTATTTTTATTTAAACCAGATAAGGACTCAAACTATTTAAGAGAGGACGAATTTGTTATTTTATTTTTGGCCTGTGATGCGCCACTTCATGTAAATGGTAAGTTCCACATTCTTATCAAATGCCTTCTATATGTACACAAATTTAGAAAATATTTGACAGCAAAACTTAATTCAAGTTATTTAATGCGTTCTAGCACTATATCGATTCACTTTATTTAATTTTGCTTTGATTGGAATTCTTATCATTGTGCCATTTGAGATGGATATGAACATCATAAACTAACTTATAAGTAATCGATACATATCAGTTCAACATATCAAAAATGCTTTTCTACATTTTTATAACTTTGTCAGGCTGAAGCAGCAGTAGGTACATCAGGTCATTAACTATGTTAGTAATACTTTGACGAACCATTCTACAAGTACACCTTTTTTTCACAGCACGCACGTACATGCAAGTGGACCCCACTTTTGTGAGGAAGTGTGAAAATTGATGTAAAAAAAATGATGTACAAATGACATTTTTGTACTTTGACAACCTCATCATTTGTCCCGATGGTTTATTCATAATTTAAAAAAGTACAATACTCCATGTACATACCCAACCCAAAGATACATTTCTACATTTATTTGCGTTCTATATTTTGTTGTTTAATATGCTTTTATTTTGAATTGGATTCCTTATCAACCTTTATTTATTTTTATTTTTTTCAAATTCTTTATGATACATGCAATTTGGTCTACAAAATTGATCACACGTGACGTGATTTTCCAACTCCTTGATTGAGTAATTTCGTTAAGGGTCCGTTTGATTGTAAAGATGGAATTGAATTACCTAGAAAATGAATTACATGGAATTGAATTATCTAGAATTGTTTTCCTGAGAATTGTAAATTATTGTGTTTGATTGGTATAATTTTTCACGTGGAAAATGTTGAAATAAAGTATTTTTTAATGGTCATTTGACTTTGTTTTACATGAAAATTGTCAATTAAAGGGAAATATTTTTTTACAATAATTCTTAGAATTGGTTTCCATTACCAACAAAAAAAAAACGAAAAAAAATAATAATAATCGCTACAGTAGGGTATATGGTGAGAATTCAAATTCCACTAAAACAAGGAAAATTCCAAGTTCCAAGAAATCCAAGAAATGCAATTCCATGGAAAATATAAGGTATCAAAAACCAAAAGTTGGAATTTCCAATTCCAATTCCATCTTTCTTTCTTTTTTTTCCATTTCCATGCTATCAAACACTCCCTAAGTTTATGAATTAAAATTTTATTCTAGACTTGATTATTGTCTAGACCTTCAAAAATGTTCCAAATTTGAAGTGGCACTTTCTCTGGGTACTGGGATGATGAAAAAGTAGATCTGATAAAATGGAATAGTTGGAAGAATAGAAAAGTCAATTCAATTTAGACACAAATGAGAGAAATTTAGCTCCTGTTTAATGAGAATTAAAATCAAAATTTTAATAAATTTTAATAAAAGTTGATGAAATATCTTACCAAAGAGATGTGGATCCTCAGAAATGTATGGTTAAAATGAAATATTAACTTTGACTTAAATTAAAATCTAAATTTTAATCTTTAGCTCAATAAATTTGAACCTTGACATAGTTTCTTTAATCTAGACATGCTCACCAAAGTGAGAATTAATAAATTAAACAAGAAAACTATTAGTAATAATTTATGTTAGATAATAATTTGGAAACTTGTTTGAGTTAAAATAAATATCTCAAAATGCTTAACTATAAGCCAATGTGAAAAGTGGGTTTAGAAGAGTCAACCCTATTAAATATAGAGAAAAATTAAATGACTAATTAGAAGACCAAAATTTAACAAAATTTCTTGTTGCAGGCTCCAATAATTACTTGTCTAAATATTAGATGCTGCCAAACTGCCTTGAAGGATGTTTTTGATCAATTCTCGTGCTCAAAGTGCTTAACTTTAGGCCAATGTGAAAAGTGGGTTTAGAAGGGTCAACCCTATTAGATATTGAGAAAAAATGAATGACTGATTAGACGACCAAAATTTAACGAAATGAAAATTTTCAAAGGTAGATGCCAGCATGCAAAATAACCTATTGTTTTCGTCTTTTATTCGGCATTTGGAATCATAGATATCGACCTATCTCAGCCTCGAAAAAACCGTGGTAGCCATCTAATTCAGTTGTGTTGTCTTTACCAAATTTATATCACTTCACCACGATGATTTTAATTATTTCCGAAAACAAGAAATTAAGGATCAAACCATTCTATGGATTGGGCTTGCTTAGGCCCATTTCCAGAGATTCATCCTTGTTAGGTTTCTTGGTTTCACCTTTGTTGCCACGATAAATGAAGTATAATATTAGCTGCATTGCTCCTAATCCACATCCAAAACCATTTGGCACCTGCATCATCATGGTCAATCTCAACTAATTATATTCTCATTTTGATTGAACCACATCGTCTAAAAACTTATGCTGATAAATAGAAAAGAAAGACAAATGAGAAAATTTGATGACAATTACCTACCGCAAGAAAAGGGTCCTTCCCGATTAGTCCGTAGATAAACCATGAAGTACCACATAAGAAAACAAAGAGGGACAAGAAGAAGGGCATGAACTCCACACTCTTTGTCTTAATAACCATCCTCTGCACATGTAAACTTCACATCAATAATGTAACTATTACCAATAGTTATCTAAACAACCCATATCAATTTTTTGACGCTGAATTTACGTGGCAGGCTTCTAGTCAACTTTGAGTGTGAGTTCAAGTCGACCAAAGAGTCTATACCCAACCGTCGAATCGGCTAAATAAGCTCATGTTTTTAGGTCTTTGTGCAACTGAACTCAAAATTGACTAGATATTGTCACACTCAAAATTTTATCTTCGAGTACAAGTTGACCAAAGATCTCAATCTGAAGGTTGAACATATTAACTAAGCTCCTATTTCATAGTTAAAGGTCCAATTCACATTGAAACTTGAGTAATAGACAATGATGCAAACTTTGAATGTTAGCGAGTTGGCCAAAGAGTTGAGGCAATGGTCAAATGGGTTAAACTTGTAATTCTTTGTTCATTTGATGCTCAAATTTGAGTAGGATGTCAGCAAATTTAACATTTTCATCATTTAACTAATGTTAGGGTACATTTTGTACAATGGAGTACTAGACGCGACTAGACCAAAAAATGAACAAAACGTGTCACGTGATTCTCAATCTCAATCTGTCTAGTCTCGACAAATTTACCGTACTAACATGCTACTTATAAACTGTAAAGATCTTACCATGACTGATAGAGGTGAAGCGTACATTGTGATAGAGAATATTGTAGCAGCAAATCCACAAATAAGCTTCCTTTTGTGCGAGTCATGGATGGCAAACAGAGAAACAAATGCCACAACTGAAAATACAGCAAGAATGACCACAAGCAGTCCAAATATCTTGGCCCTCTCTTTTTTGGGTGCAAATATTAGAAAAATGAGTACATAAAGTGATTCAATTGCTGCACCAGTGCCATTGATTATTGACACCAATATGTTGTTTGGCGATATAAATGGGAGACCATACCTGTTTAAATCAATCATTTGACCAGAAAAATTAAAAATCGAGTAATAGCACATTCAAGGGTAATTTAGTCAATTAGACTTCTCCTTTTAATAAAGTTGACTTTTGAAAATGAATATTAGGACTCAATATAGTATGATAACTTAAACGAGCTATTGAATTCTAGTGTTGGTGTCCAATAAAGCTAGTGACCATCTTACGGGATATATTAAAGCTTGTTTAGAAGTGCTTATATATGGTTTGAATTATAGTGGAGATGTAAATAGCACGTGTGAGTGTCTCGAATGTGTGAATCAAAGTATTGAGTGTTATAAACATGAGTCAAACACAGGCTAGGGAGAAGCCCCCCGCCTCTTAAATCAAAAACTATAATCAATATATACTTGCTTGAAGTTGACTTTTTAAGATTGAATTTCAGGACGCAATAATCATAGTGTAAAATTAAGTACCATGCAGAAAGCAAGCAGTTTAGCAATGTCATAACATAGGGTATGCCTGAGAACTGTTCTGTTGATCTTTTCATGACTATCCTCTTGAATGTAATCCTGCAATAAATTTGTAAAAGTTAAGAAAAATAAATAACAAGAATTTTTTTGATTAAAGACTCCTAAATACCTGAAAATAAATTTCAAGTAAAAAATGTTCACATGGGCAAGTTTTCTTTTCTTTTTCTTTTTCTCTTTAAAGGAAGGTGTGCGTGGTGATGGTGGTGATTAGGGAGATTTTTCCTCATAATTGAATCGAACTGGACCAAGCTAAGAGTTCATATTAGTTCTAGTTAAATTTGGATGAGAACCATATTCACTTGCTCATGGTTCTTACGTGTAACATTTTTCCATTAGTACTCCGGCCGGAACATGCGTGGACTTAGCGATTTCATGGGGTCGAGAATACTTACGTTGGAGCCAAGAAGAGAAATAATCCAGTAGCATTTCCTGTTCATAAAAAAACAGATTCAATTAATCCCTCTTGAATAATTAAAGAAAGATATATACAATCACAATGAATTCTTATTCTCGATAAATTCAAACTCGACCACCGTCACTCCATTCTGCTAGAAAGAAAGATAAATGGAACTGGAAAATAGTACCAAAAACACCGAAAGCCAAATGCAGAGTTTTATTCATGTTTTCTCAAAGAATGAGATTATATCAATGTCCAATTCAGACAAAGGAAACACTTCAAGAAATGCAATAGAATTTTCTTGAAAGTGCAGAGACTTGTTTATGAAGCGGTGTGATGATGTAAGAATTTATGGGTAAACGGGTACGAGTCATATACAACCAGAAATAATAAGAAAAAAACTTTGCTTTTGCAAAATGCAATGAATGCAGCAGATTACGTCCCTATCCATCTATTTCTTGGGCTGGGTAATAAGAGAGTCGTGGCTTCTTCTCACCACCCCTTCACTCTCTCCCTCGGTATAAATATATTTTACAAACATTATGTGTGTCTCTGTATCTGAATCCAATTGTCTGCTACTCAATAATGTTCTGTATATAAATGCAAGTTAATGCATCGGTACAAGTGAAATAGATTTTGGCCTTATCAGAATAAATTGAAAACGGTTGCTGCTTAAATGAACTGCGTTTTGTCTAAAAGTTTAAACAGTTAATATTAGTATTGAGGAAATGAGTTGTGAGTCGTCCCCATGGGATTGACTCGACCCCTCTCTACTCTTAGTAGCTTAAGGGTTCGCGTCCATTCCTGAAAGGGTACATTTTTCTTTCGATTTATCTCTTGTAGTCATTTCCCAAATTCGCTGCAAGTATGTCCACGCCCCCAAACTGATTTGACTACTCCGGAAGGTTACTTGAGGTCGTGGGTCTCTGAGCTATAATAGTTAACAGTAATGTATTGACTCGATCAATAGCGGTAAACATGCAAATTAAGTATATGGCTTAAATGGATAAAACTCGTGCATGAAATTGCACTAAAAACCAGTGGAGTGCTTTAGAATGAAGATTTAGAGTCGAGAATGCAAGTTAATCAACTGCAGGATGATCTTGGAGATTATTTGTAAAGTAAGCATGCTTTGAACTAGAATAAAGATACTCACTGAATATGATCATCTTCCCACGTCAAGTTAGATTTATTTTTAATCCATATGTCACACATCCTAAATTTTATAAATGAGTAATGAATAATGCTACTGACTAAATTTTAAGTCAAGATTTTGTCTACTTTGATACTGTACTGTAAGGCAAATGTCACACAATATTAAAATGAGAAGCAAGAAATTGAAATCGACCAAAAGTAAACTGTGCAGAAAATTAAAGAATTAACACAAGATTTCTTTCGGCCTAAGTCCTGGAGGTTCGGCGACCACATCTAACGTCTACATCCCCCGTTGAGCATCCAACAAGTTGGATTACGCTCGGTTGCACTATAATAGCCAAAAATGGCAACGAAGGGTTACAAGAGTTCAACAAATACACTGAGATGAAGCAAAGATACTTATCTCTCAAGATCGACTCAAAACCTTCGAAGAATCACAAAGAAGCTTCACTGCGTCCCTCTCAAAACATCACAACAGAAGAGGACACAAACCATTACAGATAATCACTCAGAATATCTAAACGAAATCACTAAGACTTTCACATTTAAGGCCTCAAAATCAGAGATTTGAGCCACATAATCGAGCAGAACAAACCCTAACCAGAAGAGGGGTTTTCTCTCTCTCTCAAAGGCCAAGAGTCAAAACGCGTAGTGGAGTGATTAATGTGCCAAGTGAAAAGGCACGTTATAATGGAAGGTTCGAGATTCAATCCAACAGCCATGGTTCAGCCACGTGTCTCCATCGAGTTGAAAGTGTCAATTTAATAGAGTTGCATTTCCACAAAAACGACTTCACAGTATAATAAAATTCTGGAAGCTTACTACCATGGTTCGAATCTCACATGTACCTATCAGCACTGGCAACTTCAAAAATATTAGTCCAATTAAGGTATAGAACTACCACTCGTGTATCGTGGTCCAACAAATTTTCCAGAAGAGGAATGATATACAATAACTCAAAATAGCCAATTTTTGTGAATAAAATAGGTGAAATTGTGTTATCAACAAATTTAATTTGAATATATGTTGTGGGAATTGTAGATGTCATAAACTAATCAATTCACGAGTTTAAACTCACTATAAAAAAACAAAGGATTTCACAGACAAAAAAAATGCATCCGTGAAGTGGTCATCGAAAGGTGTTAATTTGCCATAGTGAGTTTGAGATGCATTAACAGTGTGTTGTGTGTCTTTTGGTAAGGTGGAGTATAGATGCCTAGAAGTACATGTTGGTTTGTACCGGGGATGTGGAGTGTGACATTTGGATCACGAGTGGAGATGTGATCAAATGTCTAGGATCCTTTATCTGGAAAAACACCCTGATCAGGTGGAGTGTGAGAGAGACACTTCTATCACTTCTGTTAGATGGAGACCCATTATCCACTTAAGTTGGGAGAAGTGATGTGGAGATAGAGGATTATTCCGTGGACTTAGGATCTATTGTGACTTGCCAGTTAGACATGAGTTGAGTGATCTGTCTAGTGAGCGTGGTGGGCGATGAGAGGAGATATGTGTTCTCGAGGTGTGAG